AGGAGGCAGCCAATCAATGATTCTCTCTCATAATTGATGCTTCTCTCTTTCCCTCTTCCTTCCTCCCTGAAATCAATAAAAATAAATAATAATAAATAAATAAATAAATAAAAGCAAGCCAGAACGGGACGTAGGAGTGCTGGGGCCAGCAGGGCCTCCCTGACCTGGGAGAGGGCCACCAGGCTGGTGCAGGGGGAGAAATGATGGGACTGGACCAGGGAGGTGGCGAAGGGGTGGGGAGAAGTGAACAGACTCTGAAGGGGAGGCCACAGGAGCTGCTGGGGGTGGAGGTAGGGGTAAGAGAAGAGGGGTCCGGGATGACTGTACAGTTACTGAGCGCCTGGGAGGATCAGCTGCCCGCTGCTGAAATGTGGGAGGATGGGAAGATGAATGTTGAGCAGGGATCCTGCCTTCCCTGAGCTCACAGTTCCCTTCCGGAAGGAGAGCATGTTCTGGGCACTCTCAGGGCAGTGGTTCTGTCTGTGCGAGGTAGATCTGTTAGCCTGGAATAGGGATGGGGAAATGGTCTCAGAGAGGCCAAGAGCCTGCCCAAGGCAGCACAGCAGATTCAGACCCAGGGCCTGCCCCTTCCCCACTATCACGCCTGAAGACTTCCTGGAGGAGGAGGGCCTGTGAGCTGGGCTCTCAGGCGGCTGAGTTTGGGGAGGGCTTAATCTGCCGAGGATGGAACAGGAGATGCTGTGTGGAGCAGGGTACTAAGGGCTGAACACCCCCTTGTCATATCCCCCCCCCTCAGGCACTCAGACTCCCACCCACTTGAGCACAGAGGGTTGCTATGGTACCTGCACTCTAGGGCAAGCTGGAGGCGCCCCCTCTGCTCCAGCATCCCGTTCTCCTGTCACCTGACTACCCCATCCCAGGGCACCCGAGGACAGAGCCTGGGCTGCAACACCCACCACTGGGTAGCCTGCTGTACCCCCACCCCTTGATTTGAGACCGATGGGATCAGGTGCTCAGGCACCAACACTGAGGCAGGTGAGAGGCAGGTGGGCCACCTGCCTGACCTGGTAGCTGGACACGCCTGAGGCCCATTCCCTCCCTCAGCACGAGAGCAGCGAGCCCCATTTCACTTGGGTTCAGCTGGGGCCACTCAGTCACTGAGGTTCAGGTTGGCGACAGATGCAGATCCAGGCTCACCTGGCCCTGAAGAGAGTGGAACCTCCAGGAGTGTCCAGCTCTGAGGACTCTCAATCACACAAATGCAGTGGGGGCCTGGAGGGGGACTCCTGGCCCCGTGGTCTCCCCAGTTCTCAGCGCCCAGCCTGCAGGGCCAGCCTGCCTGCGTTCAAAGCCCCCTTACCAGTTGGGTCTCCCCGGGACCTCACCTTCCTCATCTGTAAAATGTGGGTTACCCCCCTTTACTCGGTCCTTATCACGATTAGGTGACGTACGTGGGCGCGGTGCTCGCACGGGCACAGTGTCAGCTGCTATGCCTGGCATCTCGGGTGGCTCAAGCACTGGAGATCCCAGCAGCCCCACCGCCCTGCAGTTTGTGAAAGGTTCCCCGAAGTTGCACAGTCCAGGGTCCTGCCGTTATCTGCCTCCCACCTCCACGTGTCCTGACCCCTGTGTGACTTTCCTAGGCCGATAGGACAAAGTGCCCTAGACTAGGCAGCTCTAATAGCAGAAATGTGTGGTCTGACAGTTCTGGAGGCTGGAAGTCCAAGATCGGGGTGTTGTCAGAGATGGTTCCTTCTGGGCTCTGAGGCTGGAATCGATCCTGGGCCTCTCCCCAGCTTCAGGTGGCTGCCGCAGTCCTTGGTGTCCCTTAGCTTGTAGAACCATCACCCCGACTCTGCCTCCGTCTTCACGTGGGCGTCTCCCAGGGGCTTGTCTGTGTCCTCACCAGCCCTACTGGTTAGGGCCAACCTTAAGGACCTCATTGTAACTTGATTACTTTTAAAAAAAATAGATATTTTATTGATTTTTTTTACAGAGAGGAAGGGAGAGGGATAGAGAGTTAGAAACATCGATGAGAGAGAAACATTGATCAGCTGCCTCCTGCACACTCCCTACTAGGGATATGCCCGCAACCAAGGTACATGCCCTTGACCGGAATCGAACCTGGGACCCTTCAGTCCGCAGACCAATGCTCTATCCACTGAGCCACACCGGTTAGGGATTAATTTTTTTAAAAAATTGATTTCAGAGAGGAAGGGAGAAGGAGAAAGAGAAACATCAATGGTGAGAGAGAATCATTGATCGGCTGCCTCCTGCATACCCCCTAATGGGGATGGAGCCGGCAACCCAGGCCTGTGCCCTGACTGGGAATCCGAACCAGGACCTCCTGGTTCACAGGTCGATATTTAACCACTGAGCCACACCAGCCAGGCTTGATTACTTCTTGTAAATAAGGTCCCATCCTGAGTCCTGGGGGATAGGACTCGAGCATATCTTTCTGGGGGGAGGATAAAATTCAATCCAAAATAACCCCCTCTGAAGGTCCCAGGGATGGTCAGGCCGGGGTCTCCAAGGTGGCTCCCACATACCCACGCCTGGCCTCCCACCTAGGTGGGCACAGGGTGTCAAGTGAAACTCTGGTGGAAGGTGGGCACGAAGTCAGGCCAGGAAGGGAGGGAACGGGAGCCGCAGTGCCGAGCTCCTGTGCTGGGGCTGGTTCTGGGTGTGCATGGGGCTTCCTGGGCTTCCAGGGAGGGGACCTCAGGAGCAGCGGGGCAACCTTGGGGAACACTTGTGCCCCTGAGGCATTGGTGCCTAGCCAGTGTGGGCCAGGCTTGGCCCAGGTTGCAGGGCACATGCCCGTCTCCAGCTGCCCCCACTACCATCCTTCGTCACTCATCTTAGTTCACTTGGTAAATATTTGTTTGAGGACCTACTGCATGTCTAGGCGCCAGGAGACGGTCTCAGGAACTTCCATTCTCCTGGGGGTACAAACGCAATCCACAGCTACACAGGTAAAGTCACCTGGGAGAGACGTGCTGCAGGGACACGGCACTCACCATGGGCCAGGTGCGGCCCTAAGTGTTTCACACGAATGAATTCACCTTATCGCTCGGCTATCCTGGGAGGTAGCCCCGTTTTACCAAGAGGGAAACGACCTAGGAGGTTACAGGATGGCGGGGACCGGGTGGGCAGGCACAGACTGCAGGGTGCTGTGATGCAGGGCGTTGGAGGCCCGTCCGCGCCTCTGAGGGGTGCACATCTGAGCTGAGATCTGAGGGATGTGGAGCTGGAGACACAGGCAAGGCCTTGTGGTGGGAACCGGTGGCTGGAGCCTGGGGGGAGAGGGGCAGGAGTCAGAGCACCTGTGGCCTCATGGGCCGCGTAACTGGAACCGGAGCCGGTGCAGGGGTTTAAGCTGGGGAGCGATCTGTCCAGATTGCCTTTGACAAGACCCCTCTGTGGAGACACCAGTGTCCGTCTTTGGATGATGGATAAACAAAAGGTGGTCTATCCAGCGGACTATTACTCCGTCCTAAAGGGGAAGCTCTGACATGCTACAACTTAGATGAACTCGGAAACACAATGCTGAGTGAGAGAAGTCAGCACAGGGTTGTATGATCCTATCGATATGAAAAGTCCAGAACCGGCAGATACATAGAGACAGAGGGCAGGTTAGTGGTTGTCGGGCTGGGGGGAGGGGGAGACGAAGATTTTGCATAAGAGGCACAGAGTTTCTGTTCGGGGTGATGAAAAAGTTTTGGAAATAGATAATGATGTTGGTGGCACAGCATTGAGAATATAATTAATGCCACTGAATTGTATGGTTAAAATGAGTGATTTTATGTTGTGTATAGATATGTAACCATAATTTTTTTAAAGGCCCCTCTGTCTGCTGGGGGAGCCTGGAGTGCAGGAGGACAGAGGTCAGGGCCATCGGGGCAGATGGTGAGCGCAGGTCTGCAGGGGGCTGCCAAGGATGGATGGGCCTGCAATGTTCTGGAGGCGCAGACCCAGGACTTGCTCCTGAACTGCATGTGGGGGATGAAAGACAGAGGAGCCAAAGGACTTTGACTGAGGTTTTGGCCGAAGGACTGGAGAGGACGGTGGGACGGACCATGGACTGATTGATTTGGGGGCTCTGTTTTGGTCTGGTCAGGCTGAAGGTGTGGTGGAGACTCATGGAGGTATAGTCCGTGAGGAGGGAGGCCGGGCTGGAGCTCGAATGTGGCAGTGGCCACAGTATAAACAGTGGCTAAAGCCGTGAGGCTGGTTGGGATCCCTGCAAGCGGGTTAAGGACAAGGAAGAGGCCTGAGGACTCCAGCTGGGGCCCCAGAGTCCTGGGGTGCAGCCCAGGAGGAGGGAGAGGAGCCACCCCGTTCAGAGGGATGCTCCCTGGGCCTGACTCATGCCATGCTGTGGACAGCACCCTCTGACGGGTCCCAGCTGAATATAAATGAATGAATGAATAAATAAATGAATGAATGAATGAATGAATGAATAAATAAATAAATATTCTGTCATTTATTTGCTCTTCCGCCCTGGCCCTGCCCCTGGACCCAGCCCCGCCCCCGGCCCACCCCCAATTAATCGCCAGTCCCTTGTCTTCTATCTCTCATCTCCACAGACAACTGGTCAACCTGATCGCTCTGACCCGCCGTCACTCTGACCCGCCGCCGGAGACAAAGTCCGGGCTTGTTTATGCAGACTGTTGTCCTTACCAGAACCCTGCAGGCTCAGACTGCTTAGGGGACTGGGGTCAGGGAGGGGAGAGGTCAAGGTCAAGGTCACACCGCACATAAATTGCCGTCAGGATCCAGACCCACATGGGTTAGCTGTCCTCAGCCCGGCCACCCCAGCATTAACCAGCTGCTCACCAGTTTAACTGCGTCAGGGAGGGAGTGTCCATCAGCCTGGGTCAGTGCCTCTCCTGAGGCTGGGAGGTGGGGTGGGGGAGAGAAATGAGGTGGTTAGGAATGCCCTTCCCCCAGGGTAACATTGTGAAATGAACAGAAAGTGTCACAGGCCAAGTCTGGTCAGGGTTGTGGGAGGAGACGGTTTTGGACAGCAGAGGGGAGGTTTCCTGCTACGGGGCAGGGAGGGGGCAGAGAAAGAGCCGCTGCAGGCACGGGCACAGGGACTCAGGGCTGTCCTGGGAAGTTGCTGTCCCATTTCACAGGAGAGGAGACTGAGGCCTGCCGGGGAAAAGCTGCAGCAGGTATGCGGGATCCTGGGCAGCCCAGGCCACGGCTGGGAGGGTTGCGGGGAGAAGCGGCTGGAGCACTGTTGGAATGGGAGGTTGGAGAACCTGGTGGCCCAGATCACCCCCAGCTTCGACCCTGGTGAGGAACGGAGACCCCAGCGGAGAGCAGAGGGATCTGCGTCATTAAATGATCCCTCAGCACTGAGTGGGGGGCAGGGGGCGGCGGGGAGGAGGCCGGGACAAGGTCCGGTGCGTCAGGGTAGTGGCTTGTTCCCGGTGGTGGCCTCGAGGGCCAGAAGTGGGCGGATTGGCGAGACCCTTGGCAGGCAGAGCCCACAGGATTGCTGACGGAGTTCATGAAGGGCAGGGAAGAGGCAGATTCTTAGGTTTAAGTCTGAGATTCAAACAGATATTTGCCACTGTGTCGGGCCTGTGCTAGAAGTTGGGGGTGGGGATGAGCAAAACAACCCACTGATCCCTGCCTGTGCAGGGCCATTCCTCGCGAGCTCGGAGATCATTACTTGTGAACAAAGGCCCACAGGAGGTGAGGGAGGGGAGGGAGTGGCCATGTGGATAACGGGCGGGGCAGAAGGTAGACGCAGAGGAAGGGAGGCCCTGGGCAGGGCTTGGTGAGGTGGAGGGATCGCAGGAGGCAGGGAGGCCCTGGGCAGGGCTTGGTGAGGTGGAGGAATCGCAGGAGGCAGGGAGGCCCTGGGCAGGGCTTGGTGAGGTGGAGGGATCGCAGGAGGCAGGGGTGGCGGCACAGGGAAGGGGTCCGAGACCCAGCGGGGTCAGTCAGCAGGCTTTCGTTTGGGGAAAACAGGAGCTGGGCTCTGCTGAGAGAGTCCAGACGGGAAATCAGAGCCTGGGGAAGTATTGGGTGGGTGACGGTGTTGAGACTGTGGGGCAGGCTGGGACGACAGCGGGAGAGGACGGAGCGGGGGTTCATACGTCATAGGGCGGCTGAAAACACGCGTGCTGGCCCTCCCCAGAGAACGTGTTTCTAGCAAGTTCCTGGCCAGGCTGGTGCTGCTGGGCCCGGGCCACACGTGGCAGACTGGGTGTAGATACAGCCAAGGGCCGAGGGAGATGTGGGCAGGCAACCTGAAGAGCATCCACGGGAAACCGAGGCAGCGAGAAGTGGGAAGGAGCGACTGTGAGGGAGGAAATAAAGGGTCAGAACCTAACGCTGTGGGGGGGGGGGGGCTCTATAGGGCAGGGCACACAACCCTCAACCCTTCCTTACCCTCCCGGGCCCTGAGGGGGCTGCATCCCCCCTCCCCACCTGCAACTTATCCCCCCCCCCCGAGTCCCCTGGAAACAGTTGTCCCTGACCCCCAATTTGTGGTCCCAGCAGCTACCAGAGTGAGAGAGACAGGAAGTAGGGGGCTGGGGGCGGGCCTGGGCTCCTGCCCATGATCCTGAGGGGGAGGCTGCACGTGGAGCCGGGATGCCTGGTCCCCCACCCTGGATGCTCTGCTGGCTGAGGAAGCTCGGCTGGAGGACCGATGGGCAGGGTCGGGATTTCAGAACGGGGAGGCGGCTTCCAGAGGGTCCCTTTCCCCAGGAGGTAGGGTCTGAGGCCAGTCTGGTGCCATCCTAACACCTGTCACCAGGGGGCGGTTCTGTCTGCTGGGGTCAGGGTGAAAGCAGGGTGAGCCCGGCAGCTTCTGGCCAGAGGATGTGGCTTCTGCCGGTGGAAGTGCTGGATGTGGACGGGCCCCTTGTCCACGGCCCGCGGAGGGATGGCCCCCCCTCACTCTCCCTGTCCTCCCCAGGCTGGTGGGCCAGGCTGTGGTGCCCACCTGGTGATGCAGGGCAAGGACCCCTGCACAAGCCACTGAGAGCTCCGAAAACGTCCCCGGCCGCTGCCATGGCCCGCCTGGCCGCCGTGCTGTGGAGCCTCTGCATCACCGCCGTCCTGGTCACCTCGGCCACCCAAGGTAGGTGCTGCTGGGGCCGCGCCTCCACCACTCGGCCGGGAGAGTGGGTGGAGCACTGAAATACCTCTGACCGACTTGTTAGAGCCCCTACCCTACCCGCACCTCAGAGGAACCAGGCCAGAGCAAGGCTGGGTGGTGACGCACCGCCAACAACACTGAGGGGGCCCTAGCCCCTCACCTCCAACACCCAGGGGTCCCAGAGCCTGGAGTACAGCCTGTGGCACCCTGGGACCGGTACAGGCCTGCCTGGTGATCTGAGGCTCGTGTGTGTGGTACCTGTGATTACATCTGCAAGAGGCTTAATTAAAGCATGCCCATTGACATCTATTTAAAAACAACTAATGACTCAGCTCGGCCCTGCGCCGGCCCCGGGATCCTGTGCATGCCACAGTTAGTGCCCCGAGCGTGCCCGTCCACCTCACCAGTTACTCAGTTCTGGTCCCCATGGCGGGCAAGGGCAGAGCAAGGAGGGAGGCAGGGGAAGGGGCCTGCTGGCCTTGGCCTTGCCCTTGCCTGGGCCACGCCCCCTGCCCACCCCTCCCAGCCCTGTCTGGAGGGCACTGGCAGTGGACACTGCTTCCCAGTGCCCCATCGTATAGCCCCACCTTTAGAGAGCCGCACAGGGAGGGGCTTCGTTCAGCCATGCCCAGGCCTTGGCATTGCTCTGGCCAGCTGGTATCCTCTGCTTGCCCAGTGCCCGTGTTCTCTGCCCATCTGGGTCCTGCCCCATGGTCCCAGCTGGTCCAGGAGGGGCTGCTCCCACCCCCTGGACCCATCTGAGCCAACCCTCCACCCCCGGCCTGCCTCCCAGACCCGAGAAGGGCTAAAATTAGCCGCGGAAGCAGATGGTACTAGAGGAACACATGTAAAACTTTCCCCAAGTGGGACAACTCCCCCCAGAAAACCCCGGGGCCTGGCTGCCATTCTCCATGGGTCCCCAGCCAACAGTGGAGGGACCCGGTCTTCGGAAAGAGGCCTGCTTAGCTCTGCTGCCATTATGCACTGGTACCTTCTCTTCGTCTGCAAATGACAGTGGTCCCCACATTGCAGCCTCCGGGCCACTCTGTGCATCCCCGCATCCCTCTGGCACCAGCAAGGCCTGGCTGGGACGTGTCTGGGAAGGTGGCTGCCTCAGCAGGCGTGGGCCCTGCCAAGCCCGCTCTGTCCTGCAGAGACGGGCTGCCTTAATCATCCTCGTAGCCACAGTAATTAGCACCCTGTTGCCTCACTGTGTACTGCTGCATCCACTGCGCCCCTCCCTCAGCCTGGCTCTGTGAGGTGGGAGCTGTCAGCTCCCGAGGGAGGGGAACAGGCACAGAGGTGGTCAGTGACTGGATGAAGCCACCGGCCAGGGAGTGGTGGAGCTGGGATTGAAACCCATTAGCCCAAGCTCTCAGTCCCCACACGGCACAGGATGGGGACTGACATGTGACGATGCTGGGCCTGCTCAGGGTGTGCTCTTTCATTTTCACACACCTGGAGGGTTTCCCAGGTGATAATGAGGAGGACCCTTCTGGTGGCGCCCTCGCCATTGACAGTACCATGCTCAGCACTTCCTTCACAAACATTCCTAGCACAGAATCCTCACAGCACAGCCCTGGGCTATGGTGCCCATTTTACAGATTGGGAAACCGAGGCCTGGGGGAGGCTATAGGGGTGGCTGTCCAAAGGAGTGTGCATCAGAATTGCTGGTGGATGCGTAGTTCCAAAGGCTCCTGGCTTTCCCCCGAGATCCTGATCCAGCAGGCCTGGGGGGAGGTGGCCATAGTTTGCATTCGGAACGACCAGCTGCCCTGTGATTCTGGTGCTGCTGATCCCTGGGCTGCAGCATGAGAAGACCTGGGGCTAGGGACACACCTGGCCTGTTGTCATCTGGGAGGTGGCGAAGTCAGGCTCTATGGTTTCTTCCAGAATATGAGTTCCTACCCCGCCCCCATGCCTCTTCTCCTTGTGTGGGGTGGTGTGAATTTAGGGCAGCACCCAAGATCACCCTCACTTTGGACACTAACTGCAATCAGGGGTCCCTTAGACCAGCCAGCGGTCGCCAACCAGTGGTCTGTGGACCACTGGTGGTCCGTGAGGTCTGAAATGTTGGTGACCGCTGGTTTAAGGAAACCTTTGGAGCCGCCGTTGCCAACCGGTGGTCCGCGGACCACTGGTGGTCTGTGAGGTCCGAAAGGTTGGTGACCGCTGCCTCAGACCATCCTCAAGTTTGATGGTTTGCCAGAAGAACTCATAGAATTCAGAAATGCTGTTAAACTTCAGTTACAGTTTATCACGGTGAATTGATGCAGATTAAAATCACCCACGAGACGAGGGCGCGGGGCAGCAGCCCTCAGGCAAGTTTCATGCTCGGAGCTTGCAGTTGTCCCCTCTTGGAGCCGTGGGCAGTGTTAACTCCTGGCAATGCTGGGCGACAGCACACATGTGCATTGCCAGCCTGGGAAGTCCCCGAGCCTTGGTATTCACCATCTTTACTAGGGCTCTGATCACCCACCTGGCTGACCTTAATCTCCAGTCCCTCCAGAGGTCAACTGATACTTCATGACCCAAAAGCTCCCACCCAAACCACATTGTTAGGTTACTAGGTTGTTAGCGCTGCTGTAACGAAGCCCCACAGATGGAGGGCGTTTACACAACAGAAATTTATTTCCTCACAGAACTAGGGGCTGGAAGTCCAAAATCAAGGCCTTGGCAGGGTTAGTTCCTTCTAAGGGCTACAGGGGGAAGATTTGTTCCAGGCCCCGGTCCTTGGCTTGTAGATGGCCATCTCCTCCCTCTGTCCCCACATGGTCTTCCCTCTGGTGTGTCTGTGTCCAAATTCCCTCTATTTTTATTGGATGAAATTCATGCACAGGTAGGGTCCCTAGGCCTGGCCTTCCTTCGTTCCGGTGCCGCCCCCTGGTGGTCAGAGCATGTCATAGCAAGCAATGGAAGTCCCGCAGTGGTCGGCAAACTGCGGCTCACGAGCCACATATGGCTCTTTGGCCTCTTGAGTGTGGCTCTTCCTAAGCCTTAGGAGTACCCTAATTAAGTTAATAACAATGTACCTACCTATATAGTTTAAGTTTAAAAAATTTGGCTCTCAAAAGAAATTTCAATCATTGTACTGTTGATATTTGGCTCTGTTGACTAATGAGTTTGCCGACCACTGCCCTAGGGGACACTTTGCATAGTAGGCTTTTATATATATAGATTAGTGCCCATCTTATTGCCTCCTTTTAACTTGGTTATCTCTGTAAAGACCCTGTCTCCAAAAGTGGTTACATTCTGAGGTCCTATGGGTTAGGACTTCAGCATAGGAATTTGGGGGAGGGGGCACAATTCAACCCCTAACAGTTAGCACAGATTATCTGGCATGGCCCAAGGCCCCCAGGTAAACAGACACTCTTATCAGGCTGAACATTCAAAAGGCTTGGAGGGCCCTCCCAGGTCCTGAGGCAAAGGCCAAATTCTTTTTGAGCAGGTTAATGACTTGAAAAGCCCATTTTACAGATGAATAAAGCTGTGCCTGTGTCCCAGGTCCAGCTAAGCTGGAGATGGCGCCTCCTCTGCGGGTCTTCACTCCCTTCCCTGTGCCCTGAGCATGATGCGCCCCCTCCCACAGGCCTGAGCCGGGCCGGACTCCCATTCGGGCTGATGCGCCGGGAGCTGGCATGCGAAGGCTACCCCATCGAGCTGCGGTGCCCAGGCAGTGATGTCATCATGGTGGAAAACGCCAATTACGGACGCACAGATGACAAGATCTGCGACGCTGACCCTTTCCAGATGGAGAACGTGCAGTGCTACCTGCCGGATGCCTTCAAGATCATGTCGCAGAGGTGAGGCCCCACCGGGCTCTCAGAGGCAGGGTGGCGGCAGTTCCCGGAGTCCCTGAATCCAGTGCCTGTCCTCCGTGCACCCCCAGGACAGTGCACCCTGTTCACCTTCTGTCTTCCTTTATGATTTCCACACACGTTTCCCGAGCACCTTCCGGTGCCATGTGAACAGCCCCCTCCCCAGCTTGTCTCCCTACCAGTCTGTACCCCTTCCCACACACCTACACTCATGAGCCTGATGCCTCCAGAAGCTCACGCCAAGATTATAGGGAGGCGGTGAGGGCTTGCAATATACAAGCAACGGCAGGACAGGGTGAAGGTGTCCTGGGAGCTGAGGCAGGACCGAGTCTGGTCCGGCTTCCCTGAGGAGGTGACATCTGAATACAGATGATAAGTGCATGTGAGAGAGAGAATGTGAGTGCCCGTGTGCAACTGTGAGTGAGGGGGGTGTGCCAGGCAGAGCACTGAGTGTTCGAAGCTGCAGAAACCCCTCTCACACCCACAGCCAGCGCACCTCGAGCTGCTCAGTGCTTCCTTCCAATTACACTGATTTGACCACTGTTTCCAAGTCCATGCCCCGCCCCTTACCTGCTCCCTCTTGCCTGCTACAGCCTGTTCCCTCCACAGCAGCCAGAGGGCGTCTGTGAGCACCTGAATCTGGAAACATCCCTGTTCTGCTCAGAATCCTACCTCGTTCCCAGCTCACAAAAGCCCAAGCCTTCCCTCTGCCTGCAAGGCCCTGCTCGCTCTGCCCTTTCCTCTCCAGCCCTCACCTCCTCCGCGCTCCCCCTCTCACCCACCTGCTCCTCACACACGTCAGGCATCTTCCCCTGAGGGCCTCCTGTGGGCCTTCTCATTGGCTGTTCTCCAGCAGCCGCTGGGCTCCTCCCTCCTCCCGCTCACTCAGGGAATTTCCACCTACCTATCCTCCTCCAGGGCTGCCCGACCACCCTCTAAAACCACAGCTCCCACTCCCTCGCCCCTTCTCTGCTTTGTTTCTCTCCTACCCGGACTTCCATCTGCAGTTCCATCAGATATTTTGCCTCTTTATGTGGTTTCTGTCTTCCCTCACTGGGCCGTCAGCCCCACAGGGACAGGGAACTGTGTCACTGCTGTGTCCGCAGCAGCAGGCACTCACTGAATTTTTGCCGAGTGCCTGTGAGAATGCAGGGTTCACTCTGAGCCCAGGGCATAGAACTGGAAAAGGGAAGGAGGGCTAGGGCCAGCAGCTCCTGGAATGCTGGCAGAGGGTTCTAGAATATGTCATTGGGCAGGGGCCCTGAGAGTTTGGGGCACAGGACAGGTGTGGGCAGATGGCTCAGCCTGGTTGGCCAGGCTGGAGCTGCCTCATCCCCTCCCTCGCACCCTTTCTCTCCCCAGCATCCATCCCCCTCCAGTAATCTTGCCCCCTTTCCCCCTCCCAGTCCCCTGCATGGGTGGTGACAGTCCAGCCTCCCAGTCTTCGCTTGGGCAGTGCCCCTTCTCCTTGGAACCTTTCTCCCTCCCTCCTGCTCTCCAGATTCTCCCTGAGGGTTCATTCAGCACCGGCACCGGGGTCGGTGGTGTCTCCCAGCTCCCAGCACAGCGACTGGCCCAGTTCCGATGGGTTGTCAGGTCCAGAGGGGGGAACACCGAGCAGGATGGTCACCGGGGCTGCGAGTGTCCTGAGGCCGCTGCTCCACTGTCTTAAAACCTGGAGGTGAGCCCTAGCCGGTTTGGCTCAGTGGGTAGAGTATCGGCCTGCGGACTGAAAGGTCCCGGGTTCGATTCCGGTCCAGGGCACATGCCCAGGTTTCAGGCTCGATCCCCAGTAGGGGGCGTCCAGGAAGCAGCCAATCAGTGACTCTCTCGTCATTGATGTTTCTATCCTCTCTCCCTCTCCTTCCCTCTCTGAAATCAATAAAAATATATATATTTTTAAAATCTGGAGGTGCTTTTTAAAGCTTTTTATTTTATTTTATTTTAATCCTCACCCAAGGATATTTTTCCATTGATTTTTAGAGAGAGTGGGAGAGAGAGGCAAAGACAGGGAGAAGTATCGATGTGAGAGAAACACTTTGATTGGTTGCCTCCTGCACATGCCCCAACCAGGGCTCAGGCTGGGGAGGAGCCTGCAACCTATGTAAATGCCCTTGACCGAAATCGAATCTGGGACCCTTCAGGCCGCAGGCCAGTGCTCTATCCACTGACCCAAACTGGCTAGGGCAACCTGGAGGTGCTTTGTATCAGTTAGGGTACAGCTCACTGCTCTGACAGAGACACCCCAGAATAAATACAGTGAGGAGCTGACCAGACCATCAGCACCCGCTTCCCTGTTTGGTGCCTCCCGCACCCATCTCATCCCCCCTCGCTAGAAGGCCAGCGGCTTTCCCTTTCTTCTCTATATGGAAGTGAAGTTCACATAACATAAAAATCACTATTGAAGTAAAATATTTAGTGGCATCTAGTATGTTTACAAGTTGTGCAACCTCCATCCCTACCTAGTTCCGGAACATTTTCATCACCCCAGGAGGACACCCTGTACCCAATAGCGGCCACTCTCCATCCCCCTCCTCCTGGCAGCTGATCTCCTCTCTGTCTCTGGATTTGCCAATTCCGGACGTTTCGTGCATGTGGAGTCGTGAGGTGTGGCCTTTTGTGTCCGGCTTCTCTCATGCAGCATCTTCTGAAGTTCATACACATTGTGGCCTGTCAGCGCTTCAGTCCTTTCTATAGCTGAGGACTATTTTGTTGTAAGGATGGACCACATTTTGTTCATCCGTTCGGGTATGATATTTGGGTTGTTTAAGCACTTGCTTTCGGTTCTTTTGGGAATATAACAAGGGATGGAGTTTCTGGGCCATAGGTAACTCTCCTTAACCTTCTGAGGCCAATGTGCTGTTTTTATTTATTGTGGAAAGTATTTCAGATGTCCCCCTTTTTTCCATTGACCCTCTACTACAAACCCCTCCCCCCAGGCCTTCACTTCACTATTGTCTAAAAATATGGAACGCCTCATGAACTTGCATGTCACCCTTGCACAGGGGCCGTGCTAATGTCTGTACCGTTCCAATTTTATTATATGTGCTGCTGAAGTGAGCACCAGTGTTGTGTTTTTCTTGTTGTTGTTTTTAATATATTTTTATTGATTTCAGAGAGGGAGGGAGAAAGAAACATCATTGATGAGAGAGAATCATGGATCGGCCGCCTCCTGCACACCCCCTAGTGGGGATCGAGCCTGCGACCCAGGCATGTGCCCTCGACTGGAATCGAACCCGGGACCCCTCCGTCCCCAGGCCGACGCTCTATCCACTGAGCCAAACCGGCCAGGGCACCAGTGTCTGTTTTTATTTATTTATTTTTAATATATTTTTATTGATTTCAGAGAGGAAGGGTGAGGGAAAGAGAGACAGAGACAGAAACATCAATGATGAGAGAGAATGATTGATTGGCTGCCTCCTGCATGCCCCACACTAGGGATCAAGCCTTCAACCTGGGCATGTGCCTTGGCAGGGAATAGAACCGTGACCTCCTGGTTCATAGGTCAATGTTCAACCACTGAGCCACACTGGCCAGGCCAATGTTCTGTGTTTTTTTTCTTCTTTTTCTTTTTTTACTCCACCCCCACCCCCTGCCACTCAAGGCCCGCTACCACTGTGCGCCTGGCCCCAATGTTCTGTTTTTAAAGGAGGGTTTTGAGGTGGGTGGGTATGAGCAGATCCTCATTAGTTAAGGGCAGGACTGAAGAGAGAAGACACAGTCGCCCCCCTGCCCCATATCTGTCAGGGAGTCCCCCAAAACTGCTTCCTGCATACCCACGATCATCAGGTCGATGTCCTGCTGGCTGAGACCTGGGCTGCTCCAGGAAACAGACCCTGACTGTGGGGACAGACAGCAGAGAAACATCTTTTATTATTACTTTTTAATATATTTTTATTAATTTCAGAGAGGAAGGTGAGAGGGAGAGAGAAAGAAACATCAATGATGAGAGAGAATCATTGAACTCTTCCATGAACAAAGTAGGGGCTTTACAGTCAATTGAGGGAAAATGCCAAGGAAGCCATAGCATCAGTGCTGGATGGGAGCCATGAGGGGTGGCTGGGCAAGCAGTTTATGGGGCCCTGCCCCGTCCCAGCCCTGAGCTTCATGCCATGCTGGGGCGGAGAGTAGAAGAAACCCTATCTAGTGGAAGAGAGAGAGCTGGCAGGAAGCAGAAAACAATATCCACGAAAGGCTTTGGTCTCCATGGTTCCTGCCAAATTTGGGGGTACCCATTCTTCTCCTTGCCCTGGAGCCCCCAGTTCTAGGCCTGTCTTCCCATCTCCGTCTTTCCTCCACAGGTGTAATAACCGCACCCAGTGCGTGGTGGTTGCCGGCTCCGACGCCTTTCCTGACCCCTGTCCTGGGACCTACAAGTACCTGGAGGTGCAGTACGACTGTGTCCCCTACAGTGAGTCCTCTTGTTCCTCATGCGAACCCGGGCCCTCCCCTACCCAGAGTGAGCGAGGAGGAGACACCTTGACCCGCCACACACACGCACATGCACATACACGTACACGCACATGCACATACACGCACAGGCACACACATGCACATACACGTACACACACACGCACATGCACGTACACACACGCACATGCACGTACACACACGCACATGCACGTACACACACGCACATGCACGTACACACACGCACATGCACGTACACACACGCACATGCACGTACACACACGCACATGCACGTACACACACGCACATGCACGTACACACACGCACATGCACGTACACACACGCACATGCACGTACACACACGCACATGCACGTACACACACGCACATGCACACACACGTACACACACATGCACACGCACGCACATACACGCACATGCACATACATGTACACGCACACACATGCACATACACGCACACGCACACATGCACAAGGGGCCAAGTTGGGGCACATGCACATACATGTACACGCACATGCACATACACGTACACACACGCACATGCACATACACGTACACACACATATACACGTACATGCACATACATGTACACGCACACACATGCACATACACGCGCACGCACACATGCACAAGGGGCCAAGTTGGGGCCAGGTGCGTGGGGGACAGTTGGGCCTGTTCCCTTTTTCTAGTCACCCTTGTCCACACCCTAGCTCCCCGCCCCCCGCCTTTTCCCCAGCCACCACCAAAAACTGTCCTTTCCTCGGGACACCTTCTCCAGCCCTGGTCACGCTGGCCCCCTGGCCCTGCTTCTTCATGTGCCCGGGCTCCTTTACACACTCCTAGGCCACACCCCACTCTGCTTGGCACACTTACATCTCCCTCAGCCCCACTGCCCTGTCATCCCTCTGCCTCCCTCTTCTCTCATCCCTTCCCTTCCTGGCCCCCCTCCCCCCACCACACACAGACCTGTCCTTCCCTCTCACTCACCACACTTCTCTCTGAACTCCCTCTCCTTCCTCTTCACCCCTCGCTGCCCCCTCCTGCCCTTTCCCCGTCCTGGAAGCTGGACCTGATGTCCACAGAGAGACAGACCACTGCTGAGGCCTCGTGTTGGATTCGGTGTGAAGGGCTGGGGCGTCTTGTCTTCCACAGAGTCCCATCTCCTGGTCGGTTTGCCCATCGCCAGAATAGCACTTCCTGTTTGCCAGGGAAGTGCCGCCATGGTGCATGGAGGGAGGCCCCCAGGTGGCCCTGGGGAGCCAGAGGCCTGGCTTTCTTACACCTGGTGAAGGGCAGCTGACAAAGACAGGGTCTCTCCTCCTCAGCACCCACCTTAGCATCCTCCTCCTCCTCCCTCTCCCTCCACCTCCCCTTTCCTTCCCAACCCCCAGCTTCACTGAGCCAGGAGGTAGGCTCCAGGCAGAGGGGGGCGGAGGCAGGGCCACCAGAGTGTGTGCGTGTGGGGGGCAGGGGCGTGTGGGGGGCAGGGGTGGGAACAGGGGGCCCTGTGACTCTCCCTCCTCTCCCCTCCCACTCCAGCCTTCTCCCCCTCCCACTCCAGCCTTCTCCCCCTCCCACTCCAGCCTTCTCCCCAACCTTTGGTTTCTCCTCGCAGGTGATGATCTACACGGGGAACAGGATCGCTTACGGGCTTCCATCACTTTCTGCTTTTACTCCTCACCCTTTCCTTTCAGCAACCAGGCCTCCAGCCACCGCCTGAGGGGGACGCCTGACTTCCTTGAAGCCTTCCCACAGCACTGGGGACACTGCCCACCCCGGGGCTGGGGAGCAGGGAAGGCAGGCAGGAGGTGGGAGCTTAGCACACAGGAAATCAGGCTGGTCCGAAGCTCGGCCAGGCTCTTGAATTTTTCTGGCTCTGAAACTTGAGCGAGTGACTTCATTTCTCTGGGCCGCCATCAGGGGAGGGGAGAGTCCAGGAGCTCGTGTGTGAAGCAGCCGGCCCAGGGCCCGCCTCAGAGCCTGCTCCCGGGGGCAGAGGCGAGTCCTCACCCCCCAGCGCCCAGGCCCACGCCTGGCTCAGGATGTGCTCAGTAGTGGTCCGAGTGCCCTTTCCAGCCGGCTGACCCTGGGTACTCATCTGTGATGGGGGAAGGGACCAAACCCCTTCCTGAGACACTGCCAGGAAGAGAGAACGTGGATAAAGCTCCTGCCCCGAGTCACAGATGTGAAGGAAGTGGTACCCGCTTTTGCCAGCGTGTGGCCTCATCCTTGTTGCTTCCCCTCACCGAGCCTCAGTTTCCCCATCTGTAGACAGGGCTCTCAAAAGACTGCCCAGGAAGTGCCTAGCACAGTCCCTGGCACCAAGTGAGTGCTGGGCACTTGGTAGTCATTGTTTCCACTGTAACTACAATTATTGTTATTGCTGTTGGTAATCAGAATGAAACTAACAACTGATGATGCACCCAGCTCCTCCTGAGGCAGATGGGATACAGGGCAGAGAAAAACCCGTTGGTCCAAGTGGAGTCCAGAGTGGATGCCACAGTTAGAGAAGCAGGAGGAAAGCTTAGAGGGCCTTGGGAGGAAAGGGGTGGGGAGACCTCCTGGAGCCGACCCCCAGGGTGGGCAGGATCATGACCCACAAAGGCCAGGAGGTAGGCAGGTCAGCCCAGGGGATGGGCGGCCCCCAGGCTGATGGGAGAGAGCTAGCCTGATCTCTGGGGGAGAAAGGACATACACACAGTGGTTGTGTGGGGGCACAGTGGGGCCATGTGTGTCCTAGACATGCAGACTTGTAGCTCCTGGTCCCAGAGGAAGGGGGCTGGGTTAACAGGAGGATTGAAGCCAGACAGGGAGCCGGGCACTCGTCCCCACACGTTTGCTGAGCACCTCCTGTGTTCCAGGCCCTGGATGAGGCGCTGGGGATGCAGCCATCCCTCCCCTGTGGAACTCCCTGCTTCTCCAGAGAGGAGCTAGGAGAGCCAGGCCCTGGCAGAGGTTCCTGAGGGGCCAGGGCACCGAGCCTGAGGCTTCAGAGGCTGGGGTGATCCCAGTGCTGGTGCAGGCCGGCGGGGGGCGGGGCGGAGTGTGGGGGCTACCATGGGGCTGGGGCAGTGGGTGTGTGGGGTCCCTGCCACACACACATTGGACAGGCCCGACTAACAGTGGATTTGCCTTGCAGCTGTGCACAGTCTAACCATGCCCCTTCCTCCCCCAGGTACCGCCGGCCCACCAGGCAGCGGGTGGCGTGGAGCTCCTGGCTCCGGGGCCCCCAGGGGGGTTGCTGGGCAGAGAAACTGAGTCTCGGGGGAGCGTGTCTGTGCCACCTGCTGTCCTGCCCTGTGTGATGTCTCCCCACCCCAGCCTCTTCCCTCTCGACCTCTGTCTCCCCGCCCCCCCCACCAGCTCTCTGAGGCCCAAGGGGGCTCTGCTTGTCTGCCTCTCCGTCATTCTGTGTCCAACTCTGCCACCCTCTCTGTGTTGGCTCTTTCTGGGTGGTGAGGGTTGGGGGGACCCAGCGGCTCCCAGGTGGGGCCAGCACAGACTGGAAGGAGTTTAGCCTGTTCTCTCGGTTCCGGGCACCCAGGCCCGGGAGGAACTGAGCTTCCTTCCCTGGGCCCCTGGTTCTGGCAGGCGGGCAGCAGACAGGGCGAGAGGGGACCAGAGTGTCCCCCCACTCCCTCCCCGGTGCCCCCCTAACCAGAGCCCGCCTCCCAGCTGGACTCCCCCCTCCCATGAGGGTGCCCACTCACATCTGAAGGCATGGTCCTCTGCCTACCCGTCTTCCCCTCCCTCCGTGTCTCTCTTGGTCTCTGTCCTGCGTGTTTTCCCCTCCCTGTGACTGTCTCCCTCATGACCTCTTGCCCCAACCCTACCCCAGAGGAAGGGACATGGGGGGCGGGGGCTGAGCTGATGCAACATTTGGGGTTGGGGAACCAGGAGTAAGGAAAGAAAGGAAAAGGGGACATGTTGCCAAAAAAGAAACAAAAGCAATTTAATCTCTTTTTTTTTCTCTTTTTTCTTGCACATTTTTTTTTCAATTTGTTTTCTCTCTCTCTTCCGATGCTTAAAGTAGAAGTGGAGCAGAAAGGTAAACGCACTGTTACCAATGCTAACCCCTAACTCACACTTTGTTTTACCTGTGCCATACTTATGTGACCGCCCTCCCCTCTCGGCCCCTTCTTCTCCCGCCCCACTGGGTCCAGTTGATAGCTCCCGCCCCAGGTGTCCTCCCAGTGGGGCCAGCCCTGGTCCAGCCATGGGTGACTCCACCCTCCAGACACCCGAGGAAGCTCCTCTGAGTACGCGGGCAGGACCTTCCTCTCTCTCTCTCTTTCTCTCTCTCTCTCTTTGCCTCTCTGTCTTTCCCTGTCCCTCCTTCCTAGTTCCTGGCCCTTGCTAGGGGACCTGGCCTTCTCTCATACTTCTTTTGCTCCTTCAGGAGAAGTTTGTAAGCATCCTGGGTGGGTGGGGACTCCCTTTCCTGGTTCCAGACTGGGGGTGGGGTAGGGGGGCACCAGGTGAACCGTCTCTTCTCTTCCTGCCCCAACTTTGGTAACTTATGCCCCGTTGGGGGAGGCGGGATGGAGGGGACACCTTTGTTTTCCTTTTGGAGAGCAGATTCATCCTGTCCCTCAGGCTCCTGGTGGCTTAAGTTCCTTCTGGTTTGGTGTTTCCAAGGCCCAGAGCTGTTTTGGAGCACAGAGCACAAGTCTCCCCCACCCCGATCCCCCAACCTCAACCAGTTGGGGGCCCACCCCTGGGGAGGGGTATGAACTGTCCTCAACCCTGGGAGGGCAGCCTGTCAAATGTGGGGGTAAGGGGGTGGGGGCGGGCCTGGCGGTGGGGGGATCGAGGGATGGGGGAGCATTTTTCTCTGGTTCTGAAACACTTGCGAAGCTGCAGTCAGGGTTTCTTCTGGGCTGTTGTGGTTAGAGGACCAGGGAGAGGGGGCGGGGACAGGATAGGCCAGGTCTGGGGCCTTCCAGGAGCACCGTAATTTCTTGCCGGGGTTTACCCTCAGCTGGGGAGCAGGAGAACTCTGTGGTGGAGAGGGCTGTCTGTCACGGAGGGGAGGGCAGGAGTTGGGGATGGTTGCTTTCTCCCCCTGAAAGTTTTGGGAAACTGACAGCTCTGAGGCTGGAGCAGGGGAAGGGCTGGGTGAGATACCTTTTCATAGAGCTTTTGTCTTGAAATTACGGTGGTCTGTGGAGCATCCCATTCGAGGGGGGTGGAGTGGGTCCCTCCAAGCTGCTCCCCTCCCCGCTGTCTCCCTCCCCATCTCAGAGCGGCCTGGGCAGCCAGCCCATGGTCTGCCCCCAAACACCCTGCCACTCCGAGTCTCTCTTTCCTGGAGTCTCTCCCACCCAGCACCAGACACTCTTCTTGCAGGTCCGGTGGTGGTTTGGATATGCAGCCCTGGATCTTTTCTCTTCAAGAGGCGGGGAGGGAAAAGGAGGTGTTGGGAGCTTGGTGCTAGGGAGGGGTCCTTGCTGGCAAAGGCCCCAGGCCCTTTCTCATCTTCTCCCCCTTCCCCAGGGTAACCTCTAACCACACTTTCCTCCTCCACACCCTTCTGACCAGGTCATGTTCTGAGACCTCCCACCGCCCCCCTCACACACACAGCTGGCAGGAGCCCTCCTGGCTTGGGGAGAGGGGAGACCTTGGCACAGAGGAAACAGGTGGAGGGACAGGCCAACACCTCAGGGCACCAGGAACAGGGAGATGGTGAAGCCCCAGGGCCCAAGCCAGGATCCTTCTGGTCCCTGCCCACCTCTGTGCCCTGGGTGCCCCTTCTCCTAAAACAGGGCATGCTCCTGGCTGCTTTGTGCCTGGGGACCCTTGGGCTGCCTCCCAAGCCAGGACCAGGTCCCAGCCCTTCCTGTCTCCCTTGGGGCCATCTGCTTTGGTGACAAGCCAAGCAGAAGCAGAGAATTCACTGCAAGCCCTCACTCTGGCCGGTCTGTGGGTTCTGCTAGCAGGGAGTAGAGAGGGAGGCCCCAGCCATCCTGGATGGAGGGGCCTCTGACTGTCATCACTCTGGGAGGAGGAGGGGAGTCTGGCCATGCTGACCATGAGAGTCCAGAACGCCACTGGGTCAGCAGGGGAGCCTAGGAGTAGGTACCCCTGGGACATGATGGGGTAGGGGTGGGCAGGCCAGTGGGGGCCAACGAGATGCAGTTGAGGTTTTCCTCCTTTTCAGGGAATGGGGGGGTGGGGCGGGGCCCCCCACCTTTCTGACATCAACGCTGCCTTGGTCCCTCCTCCCGAGCCGGGGATGGTTGCAGGTAAATCTGGGTCCGGGGCAGGGGAGGTGGGGGGCCTGGCTGGGGTGGGCTGGGTCTTTATCCTAGCACTTGGTTCCCTCCCTTGCCCACTCTGAGCTGGACCTGGGAGTGCCCCCCTGAGGGACCCTCAGTCGGGCCTGGGCCTTGGAGTGAATTCTCTGCTCACCCCCTCTCTCCTCTGCCAGCACTAACCTTTCTTCCCAGGTGGTCTCCAGCGTGCCTCCCTTGGAGCCAGGACCTCTGCTGAGGGCCCCACCTTGTCTCTCTTCCCTCCACACAGCTTTCCTTCCCCCTCCCCAACTCTCCTGGGGAGTCCCCTCCCTCCCCATGTCCCACCCCCATCCCTGTGCACCAGTGTCAGTGTCTGCTGCTGAACAAACCCCATGAGAGACCCTGCCGGCTGGGGGCAGGGCTGGGCACCGTAGGGGAGAGGCTGGACTTTTCCAAAAACCCTTCCTGATTGTGTGGGTACTGGGGGAGGGCACAGGCTGCATCAGGAACCTTGGGTGCTTCCCCTTCCCTGGAATGGGGGGATGCTCCTGACACCCACAGTGGGTACAGAAACACCACTACCTTGCAATTTTTGCAGGAGGAAGAAAGGGGAGTAAAAAAAAAATCTTTCCTTGTGTGGGTGAAGGATGGGACCCTCCACTCTAGCTCTTCCCTGGGGGGTGGAGATGATGGCCAAGAGGCAGGGCACTGAGTCCCTGGAACTTGAAAGCTGCCAGGCAGCAGCTGCAGTGAGGTCTTTCCGCCAGGCTTAAGTCACACGAGAAAGTCTCTGGGAGGGCTCTTGCCAAACCCCTTATCCCCAGCCTGTGGGGTCTCTAGCAGCCAGAAAAGGAAAGAGGGGTACCACCTTCTCCCACTAACCCTGCTCTTAATGGCCTCCAGGGTTGACATCTCCAGGGAGAGGGGCAGCTGGGCGGGCAGGGATCCCAGCCCGGAAACCCCCTTCCCATCACCAGCCCTACCAAGCAACCGTGACTGCAGCAGCAGGAGGGGACAGTCTGGCTTCCCCCTGGCCTTGTGACCAACTGCCTCTCTTTCCCCTTTCTCTCTCCTCCCCTCCCTCATCCCTGCACCTCCTCTCCTGTTTCCTCTCCTCCCACCCACCCTGCCCAGTCTTCGTGTGCCCAGGGACCCTGCAGAAGGTGCTGGAGCCCACCTCCACGCACGAGTCGGAGCACCAGTCTGGTGCGTGGTGCAAGGATCCACTGCAGGCGGGGGACCGCATCTACGTCATGCCCTGGATCCCCTACCGCACGGACACGTTGACCGAGTATGCCTCCTGGGAGGACTACGTGGCAGCGCGCCACACCACCACCTACCGCCTGCCCAACCGCGTGGATGGCACTGGCTTTGTGGTCTACGACGGCGCCGTCTTCTACAACAAGGAGCGCACACGCAACATTGTCAAGTACGACCTGCGCACACGCATCAAGAGCGGGGAGACAGTCATCAACACGGCCAACTACCATGACACCTCGCCCTACCGCTGGGGAGGCAAGACTGACATCGATCTGGCCGTGGACGAGAATGGGCTGTGGGTCATCTATGCCACTGAGGGCAACAATGGGCGGCTGGTGGTAAGCCAGCTCAACCCCTATACACTGCGCTTCGAGGGCACGTGGGAAACAGGATACGACAAGCGCTCAGCGTCCAACGCCTTCATGGTGTGCGGTGTCCTCTACGTGCTGCGCTCGGTCTATGTGGATGACGACAGTGAGGCAGCTGGCAACCGCGTGGACTACGCCTTCAACACCAATGCTAACCGCGAGGAGCCGGTCAGCCTGGCCTTCCCCAATCCCTACCAGTTCGTCTCCTCTGTGGACTACAACCCGCGTGACAACCAGCTCTACGTCTGGAACAACTACTTCGTGGTGCGCTATAGCCTGGAGTTTGGACCTCCGGACCCCAGTGCCGGTGAGGATGGCTCCTGTTCACTGCCCCAGGCCTCACCCCCAGTCCCAGGGTGGGGGGCACACTTGGAGTTCTTGGGGACCTGGAGGTGGGTTGGGGGAGACCTTGAATGTAGTCACACAGCTCATGTCCTAAGCATTTAATTCATCTAACCCTCATAGTCACAGGGATTGTCACTGCCCCCGGTTTACAGATGAGGACACTAAGCCCTGGGGGTTGGGGGTTAGTTCATGTACTTGGAGGATTTGGACTCAGAACTCTGGGCACCTAACCCCTGAGTGCACTGCCTCTCCCAGTGGCCTGTGCACTTTTAGCCATGGAACCCTTATCAACCAAAATCTTGAGTGGAAGCCCAAATATCAGGAAGCCCAGAAACAGAACGAGGCTGAGCTGCTGCTGCTGCTGCTGATGGGGTGGGGCCTCTCTGTAGTCTCATTTGCCCCCTCAGCTGCCCTGAGCCATCTCTGAGCAGCCCCAGGGGTCCAGGGAGCCTAATCTCACCCAGCTCCCTTTGCATTATGGGAAACTGAGGGCCTCCCACCCGAGGGAAGGGACCTGGCCAGGTTACAAACCAGAGTGAGAGTAACCGAGGATGGGAGGTGGCCATGTTCCCTACCTTCATGGCCTGTCCTCTCCAGTTGTTCTTTCAGACCTCTGGGTGCACAGGAGTGAATTCTTAACCCCTTTGGCTGCTTTACATGGTCCTACAGAAGTGAGGGATCTCTGTGGGCGGAGAGAATGCCAGGGGAGATCCCCTTCCAGACCCAGTGGGGACCAGGACACCTTTCTACTTCATTGGCAAGAAAGATGCTAAGATGCCAGGGATCCAAGTACCCAGGCATGCTGTGGCAAGGCCCCAAACATGGGGGTGACTCTGTCTCCTGTCTCCTCTCCATTCCAGGCCCAGCCACTTCCCCGCCCCTCAGCACGACCACCACAGTCCGGCCCACACCCCTCACCAGCACGGCCTCACCTGCAGCCACCACCCCACTCCGCCGGGCACCCCTCACCACACACCCGGTGGGTGCCATCAACCAGCTGGGACCTGACCTGCCTCCAGCCACAGCCCCAGCCCCCAGTACCCGGCGGCCCCCAGCCCCTAATCTGCACGTGTCTCCAGAGCTCTTCTGTGAACCACGAGAGGTGCGGCGGGTCCAGTGGCCGGCCACCCAGCAGGGCATGCTGGTGGAGAGGCCCTGCCCCAAGGGGACTCGAGGTGAGTGCAGAGGCCTTGGTCACTTCCACTGTGGCTGGTTTGTGGGGTGGCTACTGCTGGTCTGGGCAGGGAAGAGACAGGACATGCCCATCACTCAGCACAGGTGCACTTGCCTGACCATCTCCCCTGCCAGAGCATGGGTTTTATATGGCAGGGGTCATACCTGATATCTGCTGCTGTGTCCCCAGACGCCAACAGAGCTCCCAGGGCATAGTAGTAGCTCAGTACCCTCCCCCACCCCAAACCCTGTCCCCTCCTGCAGTACTGAGCACCTGCCGCATGAAAAGCACTAGGTAGACCCTGCAGGGAGCCCACAGAGGTGACTTGGGTGTGCCCCAGTCTCAGGCTAAGGCGGACCAGCCCTGGCAGCAGCTGATGGCAGGGTAGACGGCAGTTGAAGTGCCAGAGGGGTGGGCCATGACCATGTGCTCCAGGGATCCGAGGGAAGGGTCAGAAGAGGCTTCGTGGAGAGGAGGCTTCCAAGATGGGCTTTGCTAAAAGGTTCTATTCCTGTAGGCAAAGATGGAAGGGGAGCCAAGAGGGAGAGCTTGGGAAGTCAGGGGTGACTTATGTCACCTCAGAGTGACACCTCTCTTGACTGTCTGGCCTGCTTCATGTCTGGTCTTCCATGTTCCCCTCACCTACTTGCCCTCTCTGTCATCTCCTTTCCCCCTGCTTTGGCCCCTTTTCTCCTTCCTTGTGGCTCCCTTCTCTGTCCTGTCTGTCTGTCCCTGCAGGAATTGCCTCCTTCCAGTGTCTACCAGCCCTGGGGCTCTGGAACCCCCGGGGCCCTGACCTCAGCAACTGCACCTCCCCCTGGGTCAACCAGGTGGCCCAGAAGGTACCAGTAGCAGCTGCTCCTCTTAAGCACCTGTGCACACTGGGCTCTGGGTGGCTGGGTGCAGGGTGCAGTGGAGCAATGGGACACAGAGGGAGACAAATGGGCGGCAGGTCTGGGAGGCAGGAATGTGGGTCCACTCTCTAGCGTACAGAGTAGGGGAGAGGGCAACCAGGGAGAAGGGGCCGCAGAGAGCAATGAGAAGGGCTGAGCAGGCCGGGCATGTGCAAAGGGACCATGGGGAAGCAAGATGATCCCTGACAGAGCTGGGCCCCCCACTTCTGCCTCATTCAGATCAAGAGCGGGGAGAATGCAGCCAACATTGCAAGTGAGCTGGCCCGCCACACCCGGGGCTCCATTTATGCGGGAGATGTGTCTTCCTCCGTGAAGCTGATGGAACAGCTGCTGGACATCCTGGATGCCCAGCTGCAGGCTCTGCGGCCCATTGAGCGCGAGTCGGCTGGCAAGAACTATAACAAGGTGGGGCCTGGCAGCAGGGCCAATGGTGGGCTCTGTCCTAGAGCCTCAGGAAGGTTCTGGCCTAGTACCTAAGAGCTGGGCTGCCACCCATGATGGTCAGAGGAAGGAAGGACAGAATCCAGGCCTGTTGGTCTCCCTCCTCGGATACCTTGGAGGGTCCTGGGGGTTGGGGGGTCCCTTAGGAACAACTCTTACTCACGGCCCAGCGCCAGGTCGGTGGCAGACACAGAAGAGTGAGAGTGTTGGAATGAGTAGGGCAGGAGGCCAGGCCTGACAGTGCCTCCATCCCTTTCCTTAGATGCACAAGCGGGAGAGAACCTGCAAGGACTACATTAAGGTGAGGCCCAGAGGGCTTCTACTGTCTGAGGGGGGTGGGGCAGGCCCCAGGAGGCACTGGGGGGGATGGAGATTGAGTGGAGGGGATACAGAGGCCATCCTGAGGAACTGGAGGATATGAGGCGACTCATGGCGCCACCCCCAACCTTTCCCCTCCCCCCAACCCCTCTCCCTGCTCATTTAGGCTGTGGTGGAGACAGTGGACAACCTGCTGCGGCCAGAGGCTCTTGAGTCCTGGAAGGACATGAATGCCACAGAGCAGGTGCATACAGCCACCATGCTCCTGGACGTACTGGAGGAGGGTGCCTTCCTGCTGGCCGACAATGTCAGGGAGCCGGCCCGCTTTTTGGCTGCCAAACAGAATGTGGGTGAGTGCTATAGTCTCACCGAGGCAAGTTCAAGTGCAAATCTTGAACTGTGGGGCCCACCTGTTCCAGAGACCACCCTGGCCCTTGACCTTGGGCCCCTGGACTGGGCACAGATTCCAATCCCGTATGCCCTGCCATCCTCTGTCCCACAGTCTTGGAGGTCACGGTTCTGAACACAGAGGGCCAAGTGCAGGAGCTGGTGTTCCCCCAGGAGTACCCGAGCGAAAACTCCATCCAGCTGTCAGCCAACACCATCAAGCAGAACAGCCGCAATGGTCAGTGCCCCTTCTTTTCTCCTTCCTTGTGGCTCCCTGAAGTCCTCTGCTCAAGCTGGGGGAATACAACTCACGGGGTCCTCCCAAAGCCCCGTAGAGCCAGGACACTTCAGTCTACAGGGCTCACTTCGGTGCAGCAGCAGTTGATACTCAGAGCTCAGGGAGGACTGTCCCATTTGAGACTAAGGCACAGGAAGGTTAGGGATTTGCTCGAGATCACACCACAAGTGAGAGGTGCCCAGGGACCCAGCTGCTGTGTGTTCTGGCCTGCTGCCCTGTTGTTTGGCGCTGCCTGCAACCGAGCAGTTGTCCCAGGGCAGGGTTCTCTGAGCCCCACTCGCGTGGGCTTCGGCCTGGTAAAAACAGGTCCCAGTGGCTGCAGCTGCACCAGCCAAGGGGCTGATGGCAAACCCCACTACACCTGTCCTCCCCAGGGGTGGTCAAAGTTGTCTTCATCCTCTACAACAACCTGGGTCTTTTCCTGTCCACTGAGAACGCCACAGTGAAGCTGGCGAGCGAAACGGGCGCGGGCAGCCCAGGGGGCACCTCCCTGGTGGTGAACTCACAGGTCATTGCAGCCTCCATCAATAAGGAGTCCAGTCGTGTCTTCCTCATGGACCCTGTCATCTTTACTGTGGCCCACCTGGAGGTGAGCTGACGCATCCCCCACCCTCCATGAGGGTCCCAGCATCTTTTGTGTTCCCATGCTGCATATCCTCCCACTGCCTGCTCATCCACCCAGGAGCAAGTTTGCACCCCTCCCTAGACCATGCACCCCCTCGCAGCCCCCACCTCAACTGCTTAGGTCATTTGTCCCAGAGATATCAAACTGCCACCTGGAGCTCCAAGCTTGCTGCTATCCCTGTAGCTGGGTGTGAGGGCTGGAGAGGGACTCCCCAGATCTGACTCCCCGGCCACCACCACACAACAGGCCAAGAACCACTTCAATGCTAACTGCTCCTTCTGGAACTACTCGGAGCGCTCCATGCTGGGCTACTGGTCGACCCAGGGCTGCCGCCTGGTGGAGTCCAACAAGACCCACACCACATGTGCCTGCAGCCACCTCACCAACTTTGCCGTGCTCATGGCTCACCGTGAGATCGTAAGCTGGCTGGCGCTCCGCTGCGCTCTCCTGGCGGGCCCACTCTCTGGCCCAGCTTTGCATGGCATCATAGAGTGAAGCATGGGCAGTGCCAGGGAAGACCAGCTTCATGGGCATGGGGGGCTACCAGTCTTGCCCAGGGGATGAGGCCACACATCTGGTTCTCTCTGGTCATAGTCCCACCTTCTCCCAAGGCCCTCTGGAGAAGCAAGTTGGTGTCACCTTTGTCATCTCTCCACACGCCTTCCAGAGCATGAGGAAGTGAGCGGGCCACCTGCAGAGTGGTGGGGGCCAGCAAGTTGGCCGGGGGCAGTAGGCCAGGGGGGTGGGGGCTGCACCAGCAGTACTTGTGGCCTGCAGCCTTGCCCCCAGCTGGCACTTAGCTGAGCCCAGGGTGAGCCCGGCTGTGGGCAGGGGTGCTGAGTGTACCCTCTGCTGTCCCCCAGTACCAGGGCCGCATCAACGAGCTGCTGCTGTCAGTCATCACCTGGGTAGGCATCGTGATCTCCCTGGTCTGCTTGGCCATCTGCATCTCCACCTTCTGCTTCCTGCGGGGACTGCAGACTGACCGCAATACCATCCACAAGAACCTGTGCATCAACCTCTTCCTGGCTGAGCTGCTCTTCCTGGTTGGCATAGACAAGACTCAGTATGAGGTGGGCCAGGCACAAGGTAGGGGGTGGGGGAAGGCAGGAGAGGCCACCTGGCTGGGCAGCCCCTCATTTGTGGTGCCCTCGCCCCCCAGATTGCCTGCCCCATCTTCGCTGGCCTGCTGCACTACTTTTTCCTGGCTGCCTTCTCCTGGCTGTGCCTGGAGGGTGTGCACCTCTATCTGCTGCTGGTAGAGGTGTTTGAGAGCGAGTACTCCCGCACCAAGTACTACTACCTAGGTGGCTACTGCTTCCCAGCCCTGGTGGTAGGCATCGCAGCTGCCATTGACTACCGCAGCTATGGCACCGAGAAGGCGTGAGTGCCTCCCCCCACCCCCATCTCTCCTCTTTCCTGGTTCCCTGCTCAACAGCAGGACCCTTGGGGCACTGGGCTCCTGGGGTCAGAGGGAGGGGCCCCCCTCTGCCTCTATCTACCTGGCCCTGCTTCCTTTATAGTTGCTGGCTCCGAGTGGATAATTATTTCATCTGGAGCTTCATTGGGCCCGTCTCCTTTGTTATTGTGGTAAGCTGGAAGGTGGTACCCAGTACTGCGTCTCCATCCTTTATCCAGGCTAGCCTTGTCCCCGAGCAATCCCAGTCTCCCCAAGCCCTTGAAAACCATGGGAACTGAACAGCCAACTAAGAGGATGAGAGCACAGCGGGTCTGTAGAGCTCCAGTACTGAGGTTCACCCATCTAGGAGCTGGAATTTGAGCCCCTGCTCTATGGCAGGCTGTGGGCCCCATCTTTCCAGTAGTGGGAACCCTGTTATCCGACAGTTATACCAGTCAGTGAGCACCTGGGGCAGGTATTCCTGTAGAAGAGGCCCAGAAGAAGGAGGTCCAGGCTGAGACTGGGCCAGGAACTCACACCACAGGCAAAGCAACCCCAGCACAGCCCCTCCCCTTGTCCTGCCCCCAGGTGAACCTGGTGTTCCTCATGGTGACCCTGCACAAGATGATCCGGAGCTCATCTGTGCTCAAGCCTGACTCGAGTCGCCTAGACAACATTAAGTGAGCACCCCCTCCCTGCACCCCTGCCACAAAAACTCCACACTGGCCCGGCCTCTCCCAGGACTTTGTAAAATGTAGTGCTGTCACTGTTGTCACACAGTGTGATTTAAGGACAAAGATGGTGTTTTATTGTGCTCGTTATATATCTACCTAATGTGTATTAAAAAACCTGGCATTAGCACATTCAACCTGTGGTTTGGGGGACATAACTGAATAACTGCTTAGGGCAAGACTGAATTCAAAAGTGAGTCTATTTCAGGGCAAGTTAAAGAGAAATAGGCAGCAAAAGATAATTTAAGGGCCTAGAAATAGGGCCAAAAGGATGAAAGATGCAGGGAATGACTGACCATTCACAAACCCCGACCCCCGACTTCTGCTTGGCCCTCAGGCCCAGGCTAGGTGGAAGTGTCGCTGGGCAGGCCATTATCCTGAGGCCTACTCACTTAGGTGGGTCTTTGCAGAGAGCGTCCAGGCCCAAGGAGGCCAACAGGGGAGCATCACCACTAGCGGGTCTTTGATGTCCCTGTCTTCTCTCCCCACCCACCCCAGATCCTGGGCCCTGGGGGCCATCGCGCTGCTCTTCCTGCTGGGCCTCACCTGGGCTTTCGGCCTCCTCTTCATCAATAAGGAGTCGGTAGTCATGGCCTATCTCTTTACCACCTTCAACGCCTTCCAGGGGGTCTTCATCTTCGTCTTTCACTGCGCCTTACAGAAGAAGGTGAGGTCAGGGAGGAGGCCCAGGTAGCCTGCCTTCTGTAGGGACTTGTGTCTGCTGCGAGGGGAGCATGGGCTCAGCGTCTGGGAGGATTTAGCCAGGGGTGAAGAAGGATCTGGAAAAGAGCAGGATAGAGGACTGGAAGAGCAAGAAAGCAGGGTGGATTTGGGACATGGTGACGGCCTCTTCCCAGGGTGTGGGGCACCAAGCAGGCATGCAAAATGGAGATGACCCTGGGCCCCATCCAGACAAATGTTTCCTACTTAAATAGTTATGAGACGAACTATGAGTTTTGTGGTGATAGAAAGTTTCCTTTTTAAATAAAACATGTTAAAATCTAAATCTTAAGGAAGTAAATGAAGGTGGTAACAGAAGCAGAGGAATGTGGAGAGGGCATACAGGACTCAAGCCATGGAAACTGAGCCAAGGCATTTGTGTACTTGGTCCTGAAGGCAGTGGGGGGGCCCTGTCAGTGTTAGTCTCGGGAGACAGTGAGGTGGGTAAGGCTAAGGTTGGGGATGGAGATACCAATCAGAGTCCTGCAAGTTTGACTGTATCCTTCCTCCTCTTAAAACTGGCAGCCCCCATTGGACACACAGGGACAGTGACATCCTTATAGGAACCTCCAGGCACGCAAGGTCCAACCAGAGCCCCCTCTGTTCCCTTTCTTCCAGCAGTGCCCTCCTCTGCCCTCTCTCAGACACCTAGACATGGACCGTCCTCATGGCTTGTTCCCTGCTCCTCCCCAGATATCACAGGGCCTGCTGTCTATTTCTCTCAAGTCTTTGCCAAAATGTCTGCTTCTCAGTGAGGCCTCTCCTGATCGATTTGAAATCTGCAAACCACCACCACCACCCCACACCCCCCAGCACTGCCTAACCCCCTCCCCAGCCATAGGTCCTTCGCAGCACCTAACACCATAGACATCCTACATTATGTACTGATGTTTGGATCTATGTTGTGTCTCTGTCTACTAAAATAGCAGCTCTGAAAGGTAGGGCTTTATGTCTGATTTGTTCTGATTATCCCTGGAGCCTAAACCGTGCCTGACACATAACGGATATGCATTAAAGAGCTGTTGAGTCATTGAATGGATAAGAAACTGGTGGAGGTGAAGAACGGAAGATGGGCCTGAGCAAGGAAAGAGAGTCTACCTGGCTGGCTGCTGGGGGACTGAACAGGTTTCTGATGCCTGTTTGTAGCTTGGTCTCTGGACTCCTGAGTGGGGGCGCCTGCGACCAGCTGCCTGTTCTCCTTGCCCCCCAGGTGCACAAGGAGTACAGCAAGTGCCTGCGACACTCCTACTGCTGCATCCGCTCCCCGCCCGGGGGGGCTCATGGCTCACTTAAGACCTCAGCCATGCGGAGCAACACCCGCTACTACACAGGGACCCAGGTATCTGAGCTGGGGATGGGCACTAGGCAGGCTCCCTGGGCTGAGTGTTAGACCCAGGAGCCCAGAGGCGGGGCAGTGCTTTGCCCAGGTCCTTGGTGGTGGTCATCAGGCGAGTGGTCTCAGAAAGTTTCTGGAGGGTGGGCAGCTTGAGGGTCCCCTTATGTCTGGGCTGTGTCCCCAGAGCCGAATCCGGAGGATGTGGAATGACACCGTGAGGAAACAGACAGAATCTTCCTTCATGGCGGGTGACATCAACAGTACCCCCACCCTGAACCGAGGTGAGACAGCATCCCTCGCCCCTGGCTCCAGTCCCTTGAGATTCCTGGCCTGTGTCTCCAAGCTGCCCTGTTACTTCTGACCTCCTGGGCAGGTACCATGGGGAACCACCTGCTGACCAACCCCGTGCTCCAGCCTCGTGGCGGCACTAGCCCCTACAACACCCTCATCGCCGAGTCAGTGGGCTTCAATCCCTCCTCACCCCCTGTCTTCAACTCCCCAGGTAAGAATACTCTAGTGCTGGGAGAGGGCAACAGCCCAGGTCAGGGAGTGTGGGGTCTGCATCCTGAGGGGTTTTCACTTGGGGTGCCCTAGTGCCTCCTGAACTGGAGCCTGGACTCAGCATTCCAAGCCCATTCACCTTCTTTCTTTTCCCTCCTGGCCTGGCACCTGCAGGGAGCTACCGGGAACCCAGTAAGTGAGACTTTCCTGGTAACATTTCCAAGGCTGGGAGGGGAACGAGACAGTGGCCTCCTTGGATGGCCTCACTTATTTAGGGAAGAGAACTCATAGAGTGCGTCCCCGTCTCGCCCCAACACACACCCACAAGCATATGCATGCAGTCTCTGGTTTGGCAGCTGGTTGGTGGTGTATTTGGGCTTCAGGTGGGGAATGAAGATGAGGGTCAAGCACAGGTTTCCCTCCCAGCCGGGGGCTCAGAATCTTAGCAGTGTGAAAAGATCTCCTCACCCCAGTCTTCTCACCGCTAAGATTCTGAGCCCCTGGCTGGGAGGGAAACCTGGGAAAACTGGTCTCCACCCCCTCTTCCACCAACCTGCATGATGGGTGTCCCCACTGCCAATGAGGAAGAGAGGGAATGGAAGACCCCAGGGGCAGGGGTAAACCCAGGCAGCCCCACCTCACATGGCCTGGATCCTTCCCAATGCCTGCCCCTCCCTGAGCAGCCCCCTTCTGCCTGCAGAGCACCCCTTGGGAGGCCGGGAAGCCTGCGGCATGGACACACTGCCCCTCAACGGCAACTTCAACAACAGTTACTCCTTGCGAAGTGGGGATTTCCCTCCAGGGGATGGGGCACCTGAGCCACCCCGAGGCCGGAACCTGGCAGATGCTGCTGCCTTTGAGAAGATGATCATCTCAGAGCTGGTGCACAACAACCTGCGGGGTGGCAGCAGCGGGGCCAAAGGCCCTCCACCACCTGAGCCCCCGGTGCCACCTGTGCCGGGGGGTGGCAGTGAGGAAGAGGCTGGTGGGCCCGGGGGTGCTGACCGGGCGGAGATTGAACTTCTCTACAAGGCCCTGGAGGAGCCACTGCTGCTGCCCCGGGCCCAGTCGGTGCTGTACCAGAGCGATCTGGACGAGTCAGAGAGCTGCACAGCAGAGGACGGGGCCACCAGCCGGCCCCTCTCCTCCCCTCCGGGCCGGGACTCCCTCTATGCCAGTGGGGCCAACCTTCGGGACTCGCCCTCCTACCCGGACAGCAGCCCTGAGGGGCCCAGTGAGGCCCTGCCCCCACCCCCACCCGCGCCCCCTGTCCCCCCTGAAATCTACTACACCTCGCGCCCACCAGCCTTGGTGGCCCGAAACCCCCTGCAGGGCTACTACCAGGTGCGGCGGCCCAGCCACGAAGGCTATTTGGCAGCCCCAGGCCTTGAGGGGCCAGGGCCTGATGGGGATGGGCAGATGCAGCTGGTCACCAGCCTCTGAGGGACCTCATGGACCGGGGGCCGGTAGCCCAGGCCAGGGAGGGAACCCTGAGTAGGGCTCTGAGGGGATAGGGAGACTGAAGGAGGCAGTGGCTGGTGGGCCACTCTCCAGGCATCCCTTGTCTGAGGGCCCTCAAGGCCTCTTGGGGGCCCTGCTGTGGGGACCTGAGGTGCAGGGTTCACAGACAGGGTTTCAAAAAAAAAATTCTCTGTAGGTTGAAGGAGGCAGTGGCTGGTGGGCCACTCTCCAGGCATCCCTTGTCTGAGGGCCCTCAAGGCCTCTTGGGGGCCCTGCTGTGGGGACCTGAGGTGCAGGGTTCACAGACAGGGTTTCCCACCAGCCACACGCACCAGCTTACTTTGGGGGAAGTGCCATGAGGAGGAACCCAGAGGTCCCAAGGGGAATAAGGAAGGAGAAATTGGAAGGGTACATCTCACTCTTGACTTCCCCCTCCCCGCTGCTCTTCCTATCTGCTGGAGAGAAATGAGGGCTTTGGTGTCCCTGGACCAAAGGCCTTGCTAGATGGAACTTATCAATCTGCACCTCCTTCTGTAGTCAGAAATGCTGGGCTGCACCAGGAGGGAGCAATGGGAGCAGAAGGACAGATGGACAGGTTCCTCCTGCACTACAGTTCCCTGCTCCCTGGAGACTGGGGCCTCTGGCCCAGGAGATAAGCCCCAGGGCAAGAGGAATGGGCATTTGTGGCTGGTGGTGTAAAGGTTGAATTTTCTCTGAAGCTCCTTCCCTCTGCTCTTAGTCCCTGCCTCCCCAGCAAACCTGTCCCCATTGCCCCCCTCAAGTGCACCCAATGACCCCCTCCCTTGGGGTGACTCCTGATGAAGCACAACTCCCTGAAGGGCCCCCAGCCCACAGGGGTGGCCATATTTGGGCAGTTCCAATCCTGTGGGCTTGGCTATCTGGGGAGCAGATTTTGGGTCTGGATCTCCCTGGGGAGTGGGTCCTGGGTTTGGATCTTTCCCTAGGGGGCCCTCTTTCCCTTCCTCTTCCCTCCTCTCCCATTGCTGTAAATATTTCAAAGAAATGGAAAAGACAAAAAAAAAAAGAAAGAAAATCTCATCACTTGAAGCCACCAGGAGCCTGCGGCCCAGCCAGCCCGGGCTTTCTCCGGAGCAGAGCTATACCGCTGGGCCTTGGCAGCCTGGACTTCTCCGTGTACGTGTGCATCCCCAGCCAGGTGGGCGGCCACCAGAGCAGCTTTTTACAATCCAGAGACAGAAAAAATCTAGAAGCAACAGCGAAACAAAGAACCTGTTTCCTTCCAGGCACCTATTTCTGTTGCCTCCTTCCCTGCTCCGCCTGACCCTGGCATCAGTCAGCCCTCCTGGGGCGTGTACCTCACTGCCTGCCCCAGGACCGGGGACCTGTCTACCCCTTCCCTCCCCACTGGCCCAGGGGAGGCACCCCTCACACCCAAAGATGCTTTTTGCCAAGATGGCTGTGCTGTCCCTTTGAGTTCCTGCCTCTTCTACATTACTTCTGGAACTCTGGGCTGGGGATGAGTGGCTGATTTCCTGCCTGGAGAGGTTGATGGGGGAGGAAAATGAGGACAGCAGGGTTTGATGTGACTGAGGAGGGAGGACCAGGAATGATGAGGTGGTCTTGTTTGGGTGGGAGTGGGGGTGGTATAGGGCGCAAAGGTGAAATATCACCTCCCTACCCTACACCCTCCAACAGGAGGCAAAGCAAGATACCAGGGCCTCCAGTCAGGACACCCATGTTCTGGGGGCTCAACCCTAAACCTGTAGGCCCTAAAGAAGGTCAGGCTTGGACTGTCTCCTGAGTACCTCTTCTGGTCCCCTCTCTAGCCTGTCACCCTGGCCCTCCAGAACACACACACACACTCTGGGGGTAGCATAGTCCCATTGCCACACTAACACAGCCCCATAATTGCCATTTCCTCAGGGGTGGCTCTCCACCTCTGCTCTGACCCCCTCCTTGTCTTTTTTGCCCCTTCCTCTTTTCTCACAAGTGCCATGAGTTTTCAAACATCTTTGGGTCTCAGTCTGCTGCTACCATGAACTTTTTGGGTTAAAGGGGAAGGGCTCTAGGGAGAAACTAGAGAAAAGGGACAGGTAGGTGGCTGGAGGGGCCCTTTTTGCTGCTAGAAAGCCCCTCCCTTCTGGGGAGCTGAGGCTGGCTTGTCCCCGTCAGGGGAGAAGGGGTCAGACCAAAGATGGTGGTTTGTCCTGTGTGGGAGTACATGTGTGGGGAGAAAGCAGTGTTGGGTTCCATCTCTAGCTTTTCCTGGCAGGGAGGCTTAACCCTGTTCACCAGAAGACCACGGGTGAGTCTGGACCCAGAGAAGTAAGAGTGGGGATGATCTCGTCCAGATGGCTCTGTGAGGAGGATGGGAACCAGCTCTGTGGCCTGCCTTGGTTTCAAGAGGGGCAGTTAGAGGTCTGCAAAGAGCTGGCAGGAGACGGGTAAATGGAGGAGTTGGCCTGACACCAAGAGGACTGGGAAAGTTAGCAGGGTGGGAGAGTTTCCAGGGGAACTGGAGGCATGCAAGGAGTCCCCCATCATCTCCCTGCCCAGCCCTCCTTTTATCTCCAGACACGGACAATCAAGGGGAGAGAGGGTAAGTGGGTCCCTTGGTTCCCATTCCAGCCAGGTTCACCAAGGTGAATTCCTAGGCCTCAAAGCTGTGTGGCAGGGCCCCCTGGTGGGGCTGAACACCACTGCAGCACAGTGCAAAACCACCCAGAGCCCAGGTGTCCATCCCCGCACCCCAACCAGACCTGGTGCCTTGACACCCCCACCCCAGCTGGGACGGTATAGAGAAGAAAGGGTCTTGGTTTCCTCTCCTATTTCCTTCCTTGAATTCATTTGCTTCTCAATCTTGTTAATTTTTATCTGGGGTGGTTTTGTTTTGTGGGTGGTTTTTTTTGTTTGTTTCCCTTGCCTTCCTTACTGTGTCTCCACCTCTTTCCATTTTTCTCGCTGTCTCTATGTTCCTCTTCTCTCAATTTCTCTGTCCATTTGGGCCTCCCCTCCTCCATGCCCCCAGTCCCTCCTTGGTCTCCTTTTCGATATGCCAAACCAATTTTGGGTCGAGTGCATTTAACGAGAACAAAACAAAAGGCTCATAACAACAAGAACGTTTCAGAAAAAAAGTTTTAAAAAATTGTTGAGTCAAAAAAACAATAAAGAAAATAAGATTTCTTGGAATGACGAGTGGTGTGACTCATTGAGGGGTGAGAAACCGGTGAGTGAATCTGCACTGAGCACCCACCTGAGGCTCTGACACTGAGGAGCCTGCACTGTAACATTTAGAACCCATGGCAGAGGCCTGGAGTCACAGAACCAGAACCTACTCAGAACTTGGTAGGTTCTTGGGCCTGGCTGAGCAGCAATTCAGGTACAGTTTTTCGTTGAACACTAGGGTGGGTAAAGGTTATTAAAACTCCACTTTAAAGACAAGGAAACTGAGGCTTACAAGATCTGGATGCACACCCCAGTCTCTCTGGGCCAGGCAACTGTGCCATGTGTCTAGAGAAGCCCTTCCTGGCCTGGACATACTAATATGTCCACAGGCTTTATTAGAGCAAAACGGAATTTTACGCTGTGCCTGTCTGATTCCTAGACCCCCCTCCCACACACTACTGAAATGGCGCTTTTTCTAAAGTGACAACACAATGGATTTGCAGCATGTGTATTTCGAATTCTCAAATAGAACTGCCAGTGAATAGAGAAATGACCACTCAAACAGTGAAAGTATCTCCATGCTCCTCTGCCCTCAACAGCACACTTCCCGTTTCTCCTCCCATCTCCCCAGCCACTCCTTCCCAGTCCTGGTGGCTGGTGCCTTCTCATCTCTTGACCTCTTAATGTTGGCAAGGCCAGGAGCTCAGCCTTAGACCTTTTCCCCACCTACCTTGGGAGAGCTTGTACCATCTCATGGTTTTAAATGCTATCTATATGCTGAGGAGTCCTGAACATAGAGCTCTAGTCTAAACTACCTTGAGCTTCAGATTTACATCCAACATCCCACTCCACATCTACCCCTGGGTGTCTGTTAGGATCTCAAACTTAATCTGTCCTAAACCGGATTAAGTTCTTGACCACCACTCCCCAGCTCCTCCCAAATGCTTTCCCACCTCAATGGCAAGTCCATCCCAAGACTCAAGCTAAAACTCTTGCAGCTTCTCTTGAACTCATCTCCTTGTTTCATACTCCACATCTATTCTGACAGTAAATGCATCAGCAGCTCTAACATTAAAATATCCAGCATTAACTAGTTCTCACCACTTTGGTACAAGCCAACTCTGTCTTTCTCTAGGACTACTGCAGCAGGCTCCTTACTAGCTCCCTTGTCCCCCTTCAGGCTTTTCTCAACACAGAAACCACAGAGATCTTGGTAAGCATATTTTGTCCTTCCTTGGCTCAAAACTATCCAATGGCCTCCTCTCTCACCCAGATGAAAGACCAACAGCACAATCGCTGACAAGGCCCTACAGAGCTCATTCCCATGGCTCCCCTCCTTCCTTCCACGCCAGCCGCACTGGGCTCCTCATCTGCAAACATGCAGGCACTCTCCTGCCTGTCTCAGGGCCTTTGCACTGGCTGTTCTAGCAGAGCTTTTGCAAATCAGAGCTTCCCAGCAGGCTCTTCTATTTAAACTGCTATTGGCCATTCCAGAACTTCCTAAACCTGGTCTTGCTTTATCTCTCATAGTTCTCCCATCTCACAAACTATCCTTTTTGCTTGTTTACTGTCTGCCTCCCCAACTAGAAGGTAATATAGAATGGTGTTTTTTAATGCTGTTTCAGTTTCTAGCATAGCATCTGGCACACAGGTGATCAATACATATTTGTTAAACAATAAAAAGCTGACTTGAACATAAGAACCAGAGTGAACCTGAGATGAGAGCTAAGAATGATGGGAGTTGTGAATGGGAGTTTCTATCTCTCAGTTCCCACACCTCTCTCACCATGTGATACTAAGTTTTTAATTCAACATGGCCCTGAAACCTAACTTCACTATTTTAGTGGTGTCCAACCCAAGAAAAGGCAAAATCTGTTCCTATGCTGGAAAAGGAACTGATTCTACTGGATCTACTGAGAGTCCCTGTGAGCCAATTCAGGAGCTTTATGGGTAATTAATAAACTATATGTGGTTTTGACCTCATA